GGTCGGGGCCGGGGGTCCCGGGCGCTGGCCGCGGAGGGGGCCGCGGAGGCCTCGGCCGAGGGTGTGCGCTGCGGTCAGCGCGGGCTGCCTGGCGGGGAGCGGTGGGTGTTATTAAGCAGCCTAGAGAGAAGCAGTAGTGTTCTTGAGGATCTTCAGAAATGTTTGAAACGCTGTCACGCCGGCCCCGAAGAAGCTATCTCGTCCGCTTGGTTTTCTGTGGCACCCGGCAGCCCCCGCCCCGGGGAAGGCCTTGGGGTGGCTCAGCATCCTCCTGGGCGCGGAGGTGGGCGCCTGCATGGATGATGGCCTGCGGCGAGGTGAAACGGCGAAGTGATTTCTAGCCTTAGGTATTTGTGCATCCCTTTAAGGATCCTTTATGGGCAGGAGTCGGGAACTTGTTTCGATAGGTCTCTGTTTTCATATTATGCAAGCGTGGGTCACACCTTTTTGAATCAAGATAAGTTAATCCGCGGACAATGTTTAAAACATGGACAGTGTTAAGAAGGGCTTGCTTTTAGGCATTGCTGAGAACAACACATCTACCCCCGACTGACAGCGGAGCATTCCTAAAAACTAGGCCTAAACTGTTTGGAATCTGAATATCCGTGATTAAAGGCTGCTCACGTGTTTTTTCACCCTGTAATTGTTGAGCCAATTACTAGAATGATGGCTTGGGTACTTCCGTCTCTGGCTTGTGTGCTTCGTCTCTGGCTTGTGTGCTTCGTTGGACCATCGTGCTTCTGGGAAGTCTTGAAGCCAGTGAATCCTGCCTGCCCTGTGTCTGGTACTGGTAGAGCTTAGTGATTTGCCTTCTGCAGATTTGCTTCTTCTGGCATAGAAATTGCTCTTGAAGTGCAGTAGGCACTCGCAAGGTACATGTTATTGCAATTTTAGCCTGGCTAGAAATCAGGAAAGGTAGCAACTTAGGTAGGATGAGTATGTTTTATAGATAGCCTGAGCATTCACTGTAAAACTTCTAGCTTCCTTGGCAGTATGGTGTTTTGTCTTTTTTTTTTTTTCTCAACATTTATAGATACAATGGGGAGATATTTCACTTCTGCTGCTGCTTATTTTCTAAATTACGTTAGCAACTGTCTTCAGAGATTAGGACTTTTGTGATGTGCCAATACCTGGGAAAAGGCACATGCTTTTAGTACGTGCATAGAGGAGAAAGGATTATGTCATTTCCAATGAAATGTTGAAGTGTTTGCCTGAAACATATCTCAGAGGCATCCAGTCCTGAAGACCATAAGAAATGGAAAAATAGTTGCAACTGTACAACTGTTGTTCTTCAGTTTATTTATTCCTACTATGGTTATGTCCAGTATAGCAAAATCATAGTGTGCTCTACAAAAACTGGGCCTTAAGTATTTCTTCTTTTTGCCAGTAGAGTACGTCAAGGAGGTATGAGGAAAGGGACTATATACCCTGCAGATATCTTTTTCTTCCAGATCCTCTAGAGAAATAGTGATCCAGAGAACTCTTACTGTCCAGAATGCACCCACAGGCCAAGAGTCTGTCAATAGAAAAAATGATAGGCATGTGGTTTTTCTAGGAATTTTCAACTGAATTGTCTGTTATAAAGAGGATATTCCTGACTTCATAGTCAACTGAATGGCTTATTCAGTGACTATCTTGTAGAGTATTTTTGTCTGTTACTTTATCCTCTAACCAAATAAAAGGGGTTGTTTGCAAGTCGGTCGTATATTATCAGGTGAGGTGAATCTATCAGCAGTGTACCAGCTGCAAAATTCTAGGTTTCTCTGTGTATTTTAAATGAGAACTGGTAAGTATTGTGTATTGTCTTCTCCTGCCACCAAGCACCTCTTCCACAAAGAGAGGTGAAGGAAGTTCCTAATTCGGAGTCATGACAGTTATTTAAAAAAAAAAAAAATCAGGTAGATACTGACATACTTATTTTTGTGAAACGTATTTAAAGAGAGGGAAAAATTGTGTGTGTGTCTGTGTATGACAGAGAGAAAGAGAGAAGAAGAGAAGCAGAGAGAGAGAGAGAGTGTGCTTCCTTGTTCCTGTGTAGCAGACCCCTACATAAGGGAAATAAGGAAAACTCGCTGAGAACATAAGGCTAGTTTGTACATAGAAAGTCTTGAAGGGCTCAGAAAAGGTCCAAAGAAAATCATCGTATTCAGTTTTTCTTTGTTTGTTTGCTTTTTTAAGTATTACCTGGGAGATTAGTGAATATGGTTGTAAGCTGTGCCTGGGGAGGACAGCATGCAGGACGGCAGGCCACTATTGTGTGTGCAGGATTTTGATGTTTAAGTTAATGCTTCTCTTGCTAAGGCCGTTTCTTTCAGTAGAAACAGCCTCTTAATACCTGAACAGTCTGCAAAAGGTACTGAGAGCTGGGTAGTTATCTCTGAGTGACTTTTCACAATATCTCTGAGTAGCTTTTCAGTAATTCAGCCTTCGATTTTGCTGCAAGTACAATTTTCCTCATGAGCAAATGAGTTGCAAAGGATGAGTTATTGTGTAACAGTACAGTAAATAATGAATTAATCCAAATGAGAAGGACAGTGCTTTAAGTGTACAGAACGTGGAGGGTTAGGAGAAATGAACATGCAGTATGCTCAAACTTCTTTATTTATGATAAAACCTCTCTGTTTCTGTATCTGAAATAGATGCTCAGAGCAAAGCTTCGGAGTAGCTCTTTCTTGCAGCTTAGGTCCGCTGCAGTGAGCAGTGTGTTCAGTCATTTCCCCAAAAGCAGCCTAGGTTTAGAAAACGCCCCATGCACTGAAAGCTTTGGGTTTGGCTTGAATTGGTGAATAGCACCAGGAATGGATCAGCAGTCCTGGTCTGGATTAGTGGCTGATAAATGGTGATGGCAGGGAGAACTCTGAACACGCCACCCGGCCCTGAGGGGTAGGTCACCTAGTGCTTGCTTTGAGGTAAAAGAAGTACTAGATGAAGTGATGGCCAGGCTAAACTTATAATTGGAGGTAACAGTGCAGTAGAGACAACACCTAGCTTTTTCAGACTGGGATTGAACAGTTTTATGGAGCTGCTTTGGAAACTCAAACTGAGCCTAGTGTGAACTGAAAAATCTCCCATATTTGTGAGATATGGCTTGCTAGATCCTACCTAGAAGGTTTCAGGCATGCATCAAAGATACCACGCTTTGGATTTATTAAGCTAATGTGAATTGCGTGGTGCAGTACAGTCCTATGCCACTGAGCAGCCCCAGATATGAGCAAGAACCCATTGTATCAGATGCTGTACAAGCACAAAATAAAAAAAAAAAAGGACCCTGCTCCAAAGCGGTGACAAGCTTAAAAAAAAAAAAAACTTCTAGTAGGCAGCTGCGCCCCAGTGCTATGATCTCTGCACATCAGAGAGATGGTTACATGGAAAGGGAGAGTCCTTAGTGTTGCAGCCATTATGCAGTTGCCACCTTCAAGGAGTTATGCAGTTGCCACCTCCAACCATTTTGGCTCTACCCTCAGTTTCTGCTTATTCTCCCAATTCAACTTTGAATATTTTTCTAAACCAAAAAAAAAGTTTGTTGTGCGTAATAAAGGTACAGCTTAAGCTGGGTGCCTCCACAGAAGGACCTTGCACACAAGTTCTTGCTTGTATTGATCCCCTTATAACCCAATCGCAACCTCCCCCCCCCCCAATCATAGTCTAATCCCTATTAACCAATCCCGCAACTTCTCTTATTCATTTCCTTGTGGTCCATTCGTGCTTTCTGTTGCTGGCAGGGGGTTCTTTAGGTTACCTCTGTGACACTTATCTGCAGTCATTACAACGTTCCCTGTTCTGTAAAAACAGGCTCCAGCTGGCCTTGACTGTGGCCACTAGTACTTTGGTTACTAGTGCCAAGTGTTAATACTCTTGCTCTTTTCTTCTTCTGTTAGGGAAAGTACGTGTAGGGGACTGCCATTTTAGAGGCAGGAAAGAAGAAAATCTTACCTCCAATTTTGTCAACAAAAACCATCGTAGATAAGGAGTATGGTCTCAAGTACTTGCAGCCACACAAACATGGTTTGGGTCCTTATCTATTTCTGTTACCCTTGTCCCGTGATTAAATCATGTAGTTGTTGGATGTTGTATCTAGTAGCCTTGGGGTTCTGATTGGTGTGATTTGCGTTGCAGCATGGGTGTCCACCACCAGCTGATGGTGTTACAATGGGTTTGGGGCAAACCCTTCTGTGTAAGTGTTAAAGACTCTGCTTTGCATGAATTTTTAAAACTCCATTGTTCTTTTGGCAGCCAGCCACATTTGAGAGGTTCCTCAAATGCTGCCTATCTCTTCCCTTATGGATTATAGCTTCCTCAGGTCAGCTGTTTTGTGGCCTTTCCTGGTCGACTGTTCTGCATGTGGTATAAAAACCTGTATTTTAAAAATAGAAAGCATCTTCATATATTTTTCCTGAGGAGTGGCCATGCAAGTATTTGAGCTGACACAACCACGAGAGTGGTTAAAACCCTTGGGAGTGGAGGAGCGGTAGAACGAAGCAGATGCTTCTCTTGGGAGATAACGACAGTGTGAGAAGGTCATGCAGTGGTGGTGGTACCTGAGATAAGAGGTCAGGAGACTTGTCAACTGATTCCAGCTCTGTCATCTGAACAGTGTCTTCCTTCAAATGGAGCCGTCTATTGAATTACAAGCAGCATCTGGGTAGACTTTATCAAAGCGTTTCCATCCCAGCGACACACTGTTGGGGCGGCCAATCTGTGAATCCCCCCAGAAGAGGCTCCTGTGAACTGATCTTGAGTTACAGAGTAACTGTTGATTCCGATTCTTCTCTGTTCTTTGGGCTCCCAGCAGGTTGTTTTGTGGCACACTGGCTTGCGGCATGGAAAGAGTAATCATGCTTATACGGGTTCTTTACAGTTTTTGAAGATTAAGCAGTTGCTATGCTAGTTAGGACATGGTGCCATGGTGGTTTGCAGAAAGGGAAGCTTGTCTCTCCAAGTGGCAAAAAAGTGAGCAAGGGGCAGTGCTGCAGCCTATAGGGAGAAACGGCCATAGGAGCACAAGAGATACCTGTAACAGACGCCACTGAGCGTGTACTTTGGCAGGTCATGACCTGGAGCTCAGTGAGGAACTCCAGCTGCTCTCTCAAACCAGCTGTTCAGTGCTCCGAAGGCTTCAGGCTGCAGAAGCCTGGATGAGGACATTAGGAAATCAGACTGCATGTTTCATCGTCCCCTAGCTGTGGTGCAAGTGGTGTCATTCCCCAAAAGCAAGTGTGCCTGAGGGACAGCAGCCGTGACCAAGGTGGTGGAGGGCCTAGGGAGAACCCTTCAGCTTACACGGCCGTTTCTGGAGGGCTGCAGCAGAAGTGCTTCTGATGCATGCGCTGCCATGTTTGGGGTTGTATAGTGAACTGTCCAGGAGGTCAGCCTCTGCCACCTGAAAGGACAGAGGTGTCAAGTTTTAACCCGAAGTCCTCTGGCGGATACCGTAATCTAGAGTTGATAAATGCATGGGCTGCAATAGTGAGATGTGTGTTTGAGGAAGAAAAGTGTACCCTGTCAGGGCGGGAGGCTGCAAAAGAAACACCTGAACTACCTCTGAAGCGTTTGTTGGAAGACTGTGATCCAGGAGAGGAGGCCAAACCCTCCTCTTCGGAGGCAGACATCTTCTGGAGCATCATTGTCTCTAAAGGAAGCTTTTGTTCACTCATATGTGAACAGTATTCTCACACAGCTGGGCTTTATTATCCCTGGAAGGTACGGAAACGTAGCCGGGTGTTGTCCTCAGTTTGGGGATGTATATACCCGCACCCCAACCATCCGAGCCATTGCATGCACAGAATCCCATTGGAATGGCAGGAAGGTCTGCTTGCAGAGGTACAGGGATGGATACAGGATGTTCCTCCCTCCGCTTACAGCAGAGCTGGAGGAAGGTGATCCATCCTGTCCTAGGAAGATCACTTAATGAAATTAAATTCAGCTGACTGCTGCAGTTTAGGGAGAAAGAGGCCAGCGGACTCTTTAATCTTTGGAGCTGGCTTTTTCCTTGTATGCTCGGAGCTGTGTGCTGTCCTTAACCTGGATGGACCCTGGACCCTTGTTTGCAGTGTGAGCTTGTTTGTGGAACAGCGCATGCGGGCAGGAAGGGGCTTACTGTCAGAAGGAACACTTTTGGAGGAACGACCATGTGCAATGAATTGCAGATTTGTGCTTGAAAAGTAAAAGTGTCTCATGTTGATAATAAAAATGCTGTTAATAATTTATATGAATTCTTAGTCTTTCTGAAGACTTAGAAGCCACAATCTTATTTTGCAAACCATATCACTAAATAGCTGCTAGCTTGCAAATATTATTTTGTAATAATGTTTATCACTCTGCAGAGTTAAAATAAGTATTTTTTCCTTTTTTTTAAACTGAATTTTCTTTCAAACTTCTGTGTCTGTGGCTTTTCTTGTAACTAGAGAGCAGTGGTAATTAATTAACGCTAGATGGCCTTCTAACAAATGATTTCTGCCTTCAGGGCTATGAAAGCGGATCAGCGCTGGCAGCATCACTTTTTTTTGTGTTGGTTACCTTCCTTCTGTAGCTGAAGTGGAAATGAGCTAGTGCCTAATTACAGAAAATTACAGCAATATAATATGTGAGCAGTCATGGCTGCTGGGGGTAAAAGCATATCGTAGCCCTGCTTCACAGGGGAGAGAGGGGAAGTTAGATCCTCAGGTCTCCTCCACAGAGGAGACCAGATTAAAAGTAAAACCCAGATCTGAGACCCTTTCCAGCTGACTGTCCCTTATGAGAGCTTTATTACGCCATGAATCATGATACATTTGGTATTTATTTGCATTTCTTTTTGTTTGCACTTCAGAGGCCAGCGCGCTTTGCCTCATTGCCTCCACTGCAAACAATTTGCCTCATTGCCTCCACTCCACAGTTACCGGTGGCTGTTCTCAGAAATAACTCCATCAAGGAGCTGGCCCACAGCACCTGCTTAGAGGCTGCACAGTGGGTTTCTGATACTGCTTGCAGTGACTGTGTTGTTATTATGGGCTGCTTAGGACTTTGGGCTGTATCATGTCAGCAGCAGTAGTGTTAGTGCCTTCCCTAGGGGCTTACAACTGGAGCGCAGGGAGCGGTAGTAGGGTTTTTTTTTGGCACCCAGCAGATGAACTTTTGCCACTTCAGCATGAAGAACTGATAGGACAAGGCTGGTCAGTTCAAAAAACAGTGTCGTAGAAAGTCAGTTTTATTGTCAAGTCTTACAGAGGTGATAGCTAAAGGAAGCCTAGGAACTATTTCTGCAGAAAGATGAAAAGCAACCTCTTTTATCAAAGCTTCTTGTTAAGAGATTTGAACAGCTAGGCCAGAAGCAGACACCTAGAAATACTCTGAGCCAGTACCTCAGATGCAGTTGGGCTCTGACCGTGTGATTTGGGATGCAGCGGGAGAGATGTGTGATTTGGGCCACAGCATGGGATGTAGCAGGAGGCTGGGTGGTTCCCCTGAGAGGCGAGCGAGAACAGCCTTGGGGCTGCTTCCGGCTGGGCCAGATGCGACTGTCCCCTGGGAACACTGCAGCTGGGTTGCAACAGAGCAACTGCTGTTCCCAGTTCCCTTTCGTCTTGCCTCTGGCATTTCTGATGATTTGGAGCTTAGAAGTTTCAGGATGGAATTGGCTTGCCTGGCTATTTATCATCCTGAATTTCCCCTAAATGGTAGGAATTGCAGTCTCCCAGGCGAAATCAACTGCTTTCTCTACTCTGGTAACCGACTGGCACCAACAGCATCTTCTCCAGTCTGGGAAGTCTTGTTCCACTTGGGAGGTAGCAGACCTCGTGGTTACTGTTTTGAAGGTAGACGAGCACAAGGAGACCATTGATTAACCTCTATTAATTGCTGAATCCTCTTGTGCTCCCTTCTTGAAGCTGTATTTCAATAACTGTGTCTTTACATGTGTCTTCACTGAAGGGTTAACATGAGCTGTGTACCAAGGTTTACCTCATTTTTGTCACTTCTTCACTTCTCCTCTCTCCTGTTCTCCTTTGTGTTCAGATGGAAAAATCTTTGCCTTGTTTGGAAGCACTCAAGCCAGGACGTTGTCCCTCACGCATGCTGGCAAGTGCAGAAGCAGACTGGAGGCAGGGTGACTGTAGGACTGCGGCCCAGTCCTACAGCCCAGTCCTAACCCAGCGAGGTTAAACCAAGAAGACAGGAAGTGGAAACAAACAGTATTGGCCAAATGTAGCAATGATGTATCCTTGGGAACCTCCTGTTTAGCCATTTCCTAGAGTTTTGCCATTGTAGGTTCATTGTCCTTTGCCAGGACAGCACGTATGGCAATGTTGTGACTGGTGCCTGTGGCAGATGGGTGGACTTGATACAGTGTATACAGAAAGGTGATTCACTTTTGAGTAGAGAGTTTGAAGTCCCAGGAATTTCCGTGCCGTATTTTGTGGAGAAGCACAAAGTGGACCTTTTAAAAAAAATAAAAAATAAAAAAAAAGTACATAGTTTGGATAACACTTCCATAGTGTCTTAGTGATTTATGGGCATTCATCTTATTTGGGGATCTCTGGGACTTGTGTACTCAAGACATAAGCTTGCATTTGCCAGTCTGCCTGTATGTAGACTTTTCAACTCCTGATTTACCACTGTGTGAGAACTGAGACCCTTGGCTAACGTCTACCTTGTTTTTGTTTTTTTTTTCCTCTCTCCTCCCTCTCCAGACAAGTGAGAGAAAAACTAAAGAAGCAAGTTGCTGAGATGAGGGAGAGATTCCCTGGCTTCAGACCAGGACTCGCAATTCTGCAGGTATTATTTTCTTTAATAACTACAAAACATCTGTGTCACTTTGCAGTAGTAAGTGGGCAGCTGATCAGCTTCACCAAGACTGCTTAGCAAAATGGTAATGCTTTATAATGAACAAGAGTGCTGAGTTCCATGTGGGATGTTGACGCAGCTCTGTGACGTCTTTTTGCCCGTTACTGGGGCCCAGAAATTCTTTTCTTTTTTTTTTCCCCTCTGACATTTGCCATTCTCTGTTTGGACTGTTGTCTGTGAAATGATGAACGTTCTTGCCTGTGAACAGGAAACAGGGCTAGTAGAGGGTATTCCAAGTCTTTGCATTTGTGCAAGCCTCAAAGTCTGTCAGCTCTGAAGCGTGTTTGTCCCAGAAATCTTAAGAGGTGGGAGGTTTATTAAGGGATTTGGTCCGCTGTTATGTGAGAACATGGTGGGGGGAAGCTCTGGCCAAGAGGAGTTTGACTGCAGGGATGGAGCAAAATCCCATTGCTGGATTTGATGTCTGTCATAAGTTGGATTAAATGTGAGCATCTATGCAGAAATGTTTGTGGAGGAAAAAGCCCATTCCTGTCAGTGCAAGCTTTAGGCCTGTGTGTTTGGCAAAATTAAGTGGACTTTTTTCCTTGTAGCAGTGAAAAATGGAAGCTCTTTGGTCAACTGTTTAGATCAGAAGGTAGCTAGTAGTGGCAAGTGTTACGTAGCAGGGAAGAGCTATGTGGCCACAGAGAACTGATGGGTTGAAAGAGGCTGTTTCCAGAAGTGGCTTCTTTTCTTATTTACTATTTGGGGCTCCTGAAGAGCTCTTGGTGCCTGTCTCTGGATTCCGGTGCTCAGACCACTATAGCGTACAAAGAGAACGCTCCCCCTCAGCGCCAGGAATGCATTTGGTTCTTTCTTTCTTAGTTTTCTTTTTCCATTAGCTTCAGGGAGATCATCTCTGCAGAAGTCCTGTCTTCAGTTGGATAGAAGGAAGGGGAAAAAGTCTCTTATTTAAAATGTAGTAAGGGATACTTTGGTGGAATTTGCTGAACTGCTGACCTTGGAAACTGTCTTCGTAACACTACCAGGAAGGCAGTAATTTACTGAAGTCTATTCTTGGTTGGCCTGGGTTCTTGTCAAGCCTGGGTTTCTCAGAGTAATTAGTCTTTTCTGACCTATTTGTTCTTTGGCTGTCCAAGACTTTCTCAAGCTAACCGTCTATGGTTGGGGAAGCTTATCTCCTGATAGTGATATTCTCAGCTATCTGTTTTTCAGCTGTCTAAATCAGGAGAATTAGCTCTTTGTGACACACAGCGCTGCACACACTTATATTTCCTCTTCTCACAGTCAGTCACCCCTGCAGCTTGTAATTTGTGTGGGAACTCGGGATGGCTCCTGAGTATGAGGGAACTGGGTTTCAAGTGTATGCTTGCCAGGTTTTCCCCATTTGCCTCTCATTTTCTTGTGGTTGTAAGGAGTTTTACCTTTAGCAAAACATACTAGATGATTCAAGCAGTCTTTTGAAACGTGGTGGTACTGTAATTGCCCAATATTGCCAAAAACTACAGGCTTCAGTTCTACTTACTGCTTTCTTTTGAAGCATTTTGTGTATCGCTTTGTTGTTGTTTTGTTTTTCTTAGGTATCCAATTTCTAAATTCCTGGGTTTCAAAAAGACCCAACTTTTCTGAAAACCTAAATCAGATAATTGGATGTTACAAGCACCTGCTGATCATGTTAATTAACCAGACATTTAAACTTCTCAGAAGAGATGAGACACGGGTTGTTTCCTGCTCTGGAGAGCTCTGTGTTTCTAAGGTTTTTGAATAACTGTAAATGCTGTTTATTTAGGAGATCAGACCACCTCTCTTTAGCAGCCTTTGGCTTGAACGGACGCTTTCCTGTTAGCTAGACCGTCTATAGCCTATGTCAGTGTATTTTGCAGTTATTCAGGAACGCCTCTGTCTCCTTGGTATAGCTCAGAAAAAGAGGTCAAGGGTTAAGGCCATCTCAGCCTGTGACTGGGTCTCTACTCTGTGGTGTGACTGAACTGTTTTTCCACCTTAGGTTGGAAATCGGGATGATTCAAACCTCTACATTAATATGAAGCTGAAAGCTGCTGCCGAGGTAGTATCCAGCCTCTTTAACCCTCCTGTGATCGGCCACGTCTGAACATGGGGAAAAAAAGCCCGAGGGTCAAATAGCCTTTTTTTAAGCTCTGCCTGTATCGAAGAAACCAGTGCCAGCCTGAATTTGTTGTTATAAGGAAATAGTATAGATGTGTAACCTGAGACTCAGCCATGTGTTCTGTTCCAGTAACAGCAGTGTGGTTGATGCAGTGTTTTTGTGCGATCGATCGACTCTTAAATTCCACATGCCTAAAGCACTGCTATTTTGTCTGTCCTGACCCGTGGCCATGCGCTTATTTTCCCTGTCTTGTTGATACGTACCTGCAGTTGCCTTGCGTTGATCACGGAATGCTACGTTACACCCTACAGCAGGACTGGAAACATAGATGAATCCCTTTTTCCCTAGGGGATAGCTGGCCTCTCCTCTCTTGGTCTTTCAGAGCAGTATGCTGTCAAGCCAAGATGATGATGTTCATTCCAGAAGTTAAATGGGACAGTAGAGATACAGACCAGTCTATCTAGGCGAAGCACTAATCTTTCATCCTCTTTCATTGGTGATATTTCCAGATAATAGGACTGTAGCCACAGGAACTGGAGATAGACCTGGGAAATATGACAGAATGTACCTTAGGGTGGGCTGGAGTGAGAGAATGTCCAGATCAATCTCTCATGTCAGTTCAGAAATCAGATAACTTGTGGGAATTCTCATTTGCAGATTGGGATCAGTGCTAATCACATAAAACTGCCAAACACAGCAACAGAAGCTGAGGTGAGTGACATAGTAATGAAGAATACTTAATTTTGGTTTTGAGCTAAAAAGATGAACTTTATCTTTACCCTCAGATCTTATAAAAAGACCTGCTTATCCTAAAATACTAACTTACAACAAAATAACTGGAACCAGCTGAGTTGTTTTTTTTATTGTTTTTAAAGAGACTTTAACAGGGATACTTGTAAAAAGAAACAAATGCAAGTCATTCATGCTCTTGAGTGGAGGAACTAAACACGCTGAGTGTGTCTCTTAATTGAGATAGGATTGTGGGTTTTTTTCCATTGCATCAGTCTTGTTTCAGTTTATCGTCCATCAGGTTTTTAGTTTTTCCTTCTTGTAGGTCCTCAAGTGCATTGCCTCTTTGAATGGAGACCCTGCTGTTCATGGCTTTATAGTGCAGCTTCCACTCGACTCTGATAAACCTATCAATACGGAGAAAATAACCAATGCTGTTGCACCTGAGAAGGATGTAGATGGGTAAGCTGACTTCAGCACTGGAGAGCAGACAGCTGCTCTAGAATTAATTTTTTTTTTCTTTTGAATGACCTCTGTTGAATTCTGAATCAAATAAAAAGTTTTTAAAAGTGGATTAGAATGACCTCTGTTGAATTCTGAATCAAAAAGTTTTTAAAAGTGGATTAGCCATAAATATTGGTATTTTGGAAGCTGTGGAATCTTAATTGTCCCTTTTTCTTTCAAAATGCAGCTTAAGTAGCGTCAATGCTGGGAAACTGTCCAGAGGGGACCTTGGAGACTGCTTTATTCCCTGTACACCAAAAGGATGCATGGAACTTATCAGGCAGACAGGTAAGGATGTTTTAATTATTCGTGAGTGTGCTAGTCTTCAGTGAGAAGTTGTGCACGTTGCAGGGTACATTGATGCCTTTGTGCATTGCATGGCAGCTTTTGTTGAGATGCCCCATTTCATCTCTGTCATTCCAGAAAGGAAAAGAACTAGTTTTAAAGCTGTCCTTCCTTCCTTCCTCCCAATTTTTAAAGTCACTATCGCATACAACCCCGGAGAAAAATAGTATCCTGAGGTACCAGAGCCAGATTTCGATCACCTAAAAGCTCCAGACCTGTTTGAATTTGAACTGGGGTGCACGCTGACCTATTTTTACTTTTATCCTAACACTGGCTTTCTGTGGTACAGGCATCCAAGTTGCAGGGAAAAGAGCTGTGGTGGTTGGCCGCAGTAAGATTGTCGGTGCTCCCATGCATGACCTGCTGCTCTGGAATCACGCAACAGTAACCACTTGCCATTCAAAGACCTCGACGCTGGCTGAGGAGGTAAGGAGAGGGTGGACGTGTGAGGCTGCAGTTTTAGCTGCTGCAAGCCAGTGCTGCCAACTGCTCGTTACTACCCTGTGTTGCCTAAGTAACTGGACCTGGGCTGTTTTTCATCTGAAACAGATCCCCAGTCCTGTTCATTGCAGGATTGTATGAATACTTATCCTGCAGTAGGGTTAATGCTGGGTTGAGACAAGACTTGCGCTGTGTGCTGACTCAGACTTCCATTAGTTAAACACTGAAGGTGGGATGTATGCGTGCATCACATTCTCACGCACAAGCACTCAAACCAGAACTGGTCTGTACTATGGAAACTCCTACATTCACGCAAGAGGAAAAAGCTTACTTGGGAGCTGTATTTAAATTTTTACTTGCCCTTGATTTTGAAGGCTGTTGATATAAGTGGCTGTGTCCTGGAGGGAGGGTGGATTATTGGCACTGAGGGTCCCAGCTATTTTTGTTGCTTAATTGGAAGGTTGTATTTGTAAGAGTAAAATTACTTTTGTTTTCTGTGGGCAAGTGCTAAGCGTTTAATCATCCCTTCCTAATCGCCAGTGGCGGCCTACAAAATATATGTATTTTTTTGTCTTCCCCAAAAAGGCTGAGTGGCCTTTTATCTTAGTGGCTGAGAAATGCTGGACCAAATGGCCTTCTCCAAATTTCCTTTAGGTCTATTTTCTATGACGGGGAGTTAGTACTGTTTTCCTCTTTAGCAGTGAGAATGACAGAAATAGCATGTGTTGCTGTGCTGCCACCTACTTGGATTTTGTTGAGCAATCAAAACTGCCAGGTTCTGTAGGCAAGTATTTAAAGCTGGAAAGGAGGTAGGTGTATTTGAATATAACTCACAAGGCAGATCAGAAAGGCTGCAAAGCTTCGTGCCATGGAGTTGCTGTTCAGTCAGGCTGTCATTAAGTTGATTAATATTTATTAATATTTATTATTATGAATAAGTGCTAGTTCTTAACAAAATTTTAAAAGTAATGTACCTCCCTTTACACAGATTAAAAGAAAAAAAAAATCCATGGGGTAGCAGCTTCCTAAACAAACATGAATGGAGCAGCACAAGAAGTGACAATGAGCTTTAGTCTGAGTTTTTAATAGCAGCTTCATGGCCAGATCTGTCAAACTTACTGAGTACTGTCTAAACAAATAATGCTGCTGAATTACAACTGGCTTTCCCTGGAGTTGCATGTGTCACAGTCTTGGACATAAACACAAGACTGCCTCTACAAGTGAAGCGCAGCTTAGAGTTCTGTGCAGGGGTTGTTCTTGGCTGCTGTCTGATGAGTGCCGGGTGTATTTCTGGTGCTAAAAAAGAACAACTCAACATGCAGGGAGGATGGAAGGGCGGAAGCTTAGAATATGCAGAACACTCTCATTTTTATCTGGAAATAGGGTGTCTGATCCACTTAAGAATCATGGAAGAATTCAAAGGAGGTTCTAAAGTGTTGACTAGCAACGGTTAGGGTAGGAGTGTGAAAACGGGCTGTAATTTCTGGCCTTAGGAACTTGTCCTTGCTGCCTACTTTTAATTGTTGACAATGCCTTTGCATTCCTCCAATGACAATTAGTGAGCCCACAGTTTCACTATGATTTAAGCTGGTCTGAGTTGCTGTTGGAGCAGGTCTGCCTTTTTCCACTGCTAGTGGGATGCAGAGTTGTTTATTTGGCTTTTTTATAGGTTGGTAAAGCTGATATCCTGGTGGTTGCAGCTGGTAAAGCTGAAATGATAAAAGGTGAATGGATCAAACCTGGTGCAATCGTAATTGACTGTGGAATCAACCATGTGCCAGGTGCGTGGGTAATGTATAAAGAGCGAGGATTTGTTTATTAGTATATAAATGCAGTTGCTAAGTAAGTACATGGATACTGTTTCCTTGGTGTTTCTTCCATGTGGACCTTTTTCTTTTTTAAGTCTCTGTCTTAGGTAATGATGGCAACCCCTGAAGATGCCGTAATAAAAAATAATACAAAAAATAATAAAAAAACAAAAAAACAGTTGGTCTGAAGTACTGTTCTGAAGCAGATCAGCAGCAGTTTTATTTCTGCCTTCAGTGGGGCTGGTGATCTGTAGGGCGAAGAGGAGGCCTATGAAATATTGCAATAGAATATTCATATTTAATTTGTCACAACTACACAGTGAAATCGTGCTGCTGTTGTCACTTGTAAGCATGGAGTTTTGCTGTCATTAGTTTGCACGGTTAGTTCCGATGAAGCTGTTCTGTCTGAAAGGCAGAAATGGCATGCAGTCTTCTTAAGACAGCTGTGGATTTGTTGAACCAGAACTTTAACTTCTTAGGCTTGAATGGCTGTGGTCTTGAGATAAAGCAGCTTCTGCAAGAGTATTCTGCAAGAGTATCTGGCATAGAGCAGTGTGTTTGAACAGAACGGATTTTGGGGTAGGTTTTCAGTTAGCTGCTTTTTCCTTGTGAAGGAGGAGGAGACGGTCTGACAATTTCTGTTTTCACCTCATTTTAAATCCAAATTACAGATATTGAATGATATGGAAAATTAGTCACCATCCAGCTATCTCTGTGCTACACCCACAAGGCTTTTAAAAGGTAGTTTTCATAATTAATCAGTCATTTTGTTGCCATTATTTAATGGAATATAAAGAAATTTCGCTTTTACTGCTCAGCAGTCTTGCTCTTCAAAGATGACATTTGAGTTGCATTTAAAAACATTAGTCCTCTGCCTAATTAAAATTAAAAAAAGTCATCTACTGTTGCTGTTTGTTGCTTTATGTATTTGTGCCAGCCTACCCAAACTTAGGCAACTTGCCAAAAACCACAGGGCCACCTCTGATTTGCACGAAGCAGAGTGGACTGGAGCCTGCCCCGCTAACATGTTGTAAATAAAACTACCATTGTATTTCTGACATATGATAGTATGACCATTGTTTGAGGCCTGATGTGAACTGCATCTCTGAGGACACATCCCTGTTTTCTTGCAATTCCCCTGCCTCAGGCAGTGCTCTAAGATTTGAGCTTGTTGTGTATCTAGCCTAGTCGGTGTTACGTGCCAGTAGGCAGGCCTGTGGCGTTGTGGGACTCAGTGGTCAGGGCTTGATAGTGTGCCACAGAAACTGTCAGATTTCAAAAAGATGGATGCTGTAGACTCTGTGGTTTTCTGAAGCTGCCGAGTTTATCTAGCCCCTTCTGATAGGTTGTAAAAGAGTTTTCAGTGGAATCCTTTGGGAAGCCAGTGCCAGAACTGTGGGAATTACAATGATGCAAGGAAAATGGCAGCAAGTTTGCCAGCTTCTCCAACTACAACACTGCATAGAAAGAGCATTACTGCCTGCTGTGGCTGTGCTTTGAATATGGGAGGGGGATATCACAGTTGCTTTACAGCTTACCATAGCTGGGTGCCTGTGTAGATGTGATTTGCAGCTGGAGGACAAGGAGATTTCTGGATGTGCCTGTCTTTGTAATGGGAGTCCCTGTAGAGGTGATCATGCTGGCTGGCTGATTTGGCATGTCCATACAAAGAAGCCTTACGCAGATTTGCCAAGTTGCAGCTAGAAAAGTTAAAGCTACGTAGCGCCAGCAAATGCAACTGTTTTGCTTTTGAATGGAGGCTGGCTTGTATGCTCCCAGTTTTGAGACTGGATTAGGCAGACCCAGTTTGGGTGCATCTGGCTTTGCATACGCGTGTGTTACAGCTGAACAGAACTTCT